CTTCTTTTGTACTTTCGTCAATTTCGTCAACATTTTCGATTAGGTCAACGTCTCCATCTTGCTTGATTCCACATGCCGCAAAACATTTTTTAACACAATCAGGTTTAATATTTTTTACTGAATAATCAATCCATCTGATAGCATCCAAAACTGATATTTTTTTAGCCAAATCTCCTGCTGATTGAGAGAATCTCATATTCGCAATAATTGACAGCAGCACTTGTTTTCTGTAATGCATTTTGAAGTTTTGTATAACTCCATGATCGAGAGGCTGTGTTTGACTTGTGGTGTTTGGTGGTAGAAAACACAATTTTATATTGGATAGTATTATTTTGGGGTGACACGTTGCATTATCCAAAAATAGAAGGATGTGTCGATTTTCAAATTTCATTTTTTGATTTAAAATTTTTAGCCACTGTCCCATAAGAACTGATGTCATCCATGCTTTTTTATTTGCTCGCCAATAAACTGGTAGCTGAGGCACATTGGTATTGTTAAAACATCGCGGTCTGAGGGATTTTCCAATAACTAGAGGTTTTTCTATTTTTCCGTCAGCAAAGGCGCAAAACAAAACGGTTAACCTTTCTTTAGATTGTTTGCCTCCTTGACATTTTTCACCTTTAAAGCACATTGTCTTGTCCGGCAGCGCTCTATAAAAAAGGCCAGTTTCGTCACAATTAGCAATGTCTTTTAGGGTATATCCTTTAATTAAATCTGTAATGTGCGATGTCCATTCAGTCACAGATTCCATGTCGACGTCCTTAGCTTCACCGCAGATCTGATTAAATCTTATGTTATGTCGTGTTCGAAAACTTTCCAGTCATCCATTCGAAGCTTTAAAATCTACTTTTCCAAAATGGTTTGCAATTTCTCTTGTTTTTTCTTGAATAATTGTTCCAGGTACAGGAAGATTGCGAGACCTTGCATCCATAAACCATTCCAAAACTGTTGAATTTACGTCGTCGTGATGTGATTCCTTTGGCTTTCTCTTAATATCGCCATTACCACCACGCATCCACTCTTCTTTAATTTTTTCCTTGTTTTTCAAAATTTCATACACTTGCGTTTTTCCGCACTTAAATTGAATAACCAATTGCTTTGGAGTAAGTTTTTTTTGGTCACTACATTTAATTAAGTCCATTTTAGATTTTAGCGATAATGTATTCGTTTTTCGGTTTGCCATTTTGAAATGTTTGCACTTTCACGGATAAACTCAAACTGCCGTACCTACACAAGACTGGTTTATTTGTGTATTTACTGCTTTTGTACCTAAATTTCTGTGATAATGGTTCTAAGTATTGATAATAGTTCGCCCTTATTATGGGGCTTTCCGAAATCATAAACTAATTATGTAAACATCTATAAATTCTTTTATACCTGCAAAGCAATAACATAAGTAGGTTCCGGCTTAACAGATTAGCGAAATTCCGTGTTCGCGTTAGACAGGGTTCCGGCTTATAAGCAATTTTTACATTACAATATGTAGGTAATCGCCAAAATTTCCGTCATACACAGGATTCCGTGTTAAACAGGTTCCGGCTTACTCAGGTTTCACTGTAGAAACAACATTAATTATTAGTACAGCCTGCATAATTATTATTTATATTAGCAGGGATAATTTTTTATAGGCTTTCCAATAGTGTATTACATTATTTAATTAAAGTATGTAGGGCAAGCATGTCAAACTGAAAAAGTAACTTGAGCTTTATAAATAAAATGTATGTTTATGTGGGCCGCAACCAGGCAAAAACGCTCTAGGCAATATGACGCAGTTTTTTTTTTTTTAATTGGTGTCATCGGCATCGACTACTAAGGCCATTAGCCTCGTGTTCTGTGTAGGCTTTGTTGCTGTTTCCCAGCGTCACTTTAGGAACAGCACTGTTAGAACCTAACAGTAAATCGTTGAGTGGGGAATCCTACCAATGCATCAGAATTCATTTTAAATAAATTAAAAAAATCCCAGCCAACGGTGGAATTCGAACCTGGGACCCTTGGATCCACAGGCAGAGACTACCACTGAATCCCACCCCTAGACGACGCAGTTGATACATTTTTGTAGCTACGCACAAAGTTAGTCAAAAATTCAACCAAAATGTATTTAAAAATTGACCTGAAGTTGATTTATGAATGTTGCATGTTAGAAAATGCATTAAATTCTCATTTTTCCCAAAGAACTAGCTTACATTCGAATGTTTTAATTTGATCAAACATGTTCGTGATGATTGGGTCTTTTACCTGCAGTCTTAAATTTAAATCAGGTAAGTTTTTGGTTATATCAACCATAAAGGATAAATCTTGTAAAAAAACTGGATCAGAGAGCAAATTTAGGTTTTGATTTTTAGTTGTTAAAAATTGACGTATTTCTTCAAGTCGTAGAATTGTTTAAGAACCTTGGAGCACGTATAGCCACCGTATTTCGGTATATTTAACTAAGTTTGTTTGGCAGCAATGCAACAAAACCATTGGTTTTACCGGTCATGAAAGGAGCTCCATCTGTAGCTACAGAAATTAATTTTGATAGAGGGAGATTATATTTTTAAAGAAGTTCATACACAGAATTAAAAACATCCTGTCCTGTAGTAGTGCAGTGCATCGGTACTAGTTCCAGTAATTCCTTAAAAATGTTGTAATTCTTGTCGCTTGCACGAAAAAACACAGCTAATTGAGCAACACCCCCAATGTCTTAACTCTCTTCACAGGCAATGGGAAAAGCTTTGAAACAAGATGATTTTGCCTTGATCTGATTACTTATATTGGCAGCCAAATCCGAAACGCTTTCCGCAACTGTATTTTGAGACAAAGAAATTACTTCAAAATCCTTTACGCTTTCCGGACACATAATTTTTGCAGCTTTAATAAGACTTTCTTAATATATACTTTTGTTAATTAAATAATGACCTACTGGTCTTTCTTGTCAGGCGCCCACGAGCCGGGCCGCAAATTTTTTTGCACCGGGCCGCAAGCGGCCCGCGGACCGCGTGTTTGACATGCTTTATGTAGGGCGTATGTACATACTTACATTTTTTATGAAAAGTTGTAAATATTTATAAAAGTTAACATACCTTGGTCTTTCCTTCGTATCGAGTTTTTTGCGGCATCTAGTGAAGGTATTGATTGCCATCCTAAGACCAAAACTACTACGACAAGCCGAAGTCTATTCCAGGTTGTTCCTGAAAATAAATAGAATAAGATATATTAACAAATAACAGAACATAGAAAAAACAATTTCTAATTTGTTATTAATAAAAAAGGGAAAAAAGCGTATATGAATGAACGTGTATAGCCTATTATGATGTTTCTGTTTGTTTTAAAATTAGTAAAAATAACTCGTTTTTTACTAATCTAATGCGACTTGATTAGGGTTAATTCAAGAATTGGGTTTTTGGTGTGTAAATTAATATAAATGTTTACTTGAACAATCTTGTATGTATAGGACCCTAATACTAATAACAATTTTAGGTGTTCTCATCAAATAATCTAATTATTACATGTTTGAGAAATCTCTTATCGCAAAAATAAATAGGTATTATGTATTATAGTAAACAATAAAATTGTCTGGGGAATCTAAAAAGTTACTGTATTCGGTAGACTATTAAAAGAGTGTGGACTAAGATTGGAAACACGTTTCTGTTTTTTTTTTCTAATTTATTTTTAGGGTAACGTTTAGAAATAATAATGGATTTATAAATGTACTAAATGTACTAAATGTACTAAATGTACTAAATGTACTAAATGTACTAAATGTACTAAATGTACTAAATGTACTAAATGTACTAAATGTACTAAATGTACTAAATGTACTAAATGTACTAAATGTACTAAATGTACTAAATGTACTAAATGTACTAAATGTACTAAATGTACTAAATGTACTAAATGTACTAAATGTACTAAATGTACTAAATGTACTAAATGTACTAAATGTACTAAATGTACTAAATGTACTAAATGTACTAAATGTACTAAATGTACTAAATGTACTAAATGTACTAAATGTACTAAATGTACTAAATGTACTAAATGTACTAAATGTACTAAATGTACTAAATGTACTAAATGTACTAAATGTACTAAATGTACTAAATGTACTAAATGTACTAAATGTACTAAATGTACTAAATGTACTAAATGTACTAAATGTACTAAATGTACTAAATGTACTAAATGTACTAAATGTACTAAATGTACTAAATGTACTAAATGTACTAAATGTACTAAATGTACTAAATGTACTAAATGTACTAAATGTACTAAATGTACTAAATGTACTAAATGTACTAAATGTACTAAATGTACTAAATGTACTAAATGTACTAAATGTACTAAATGTACTAAATGTACTAAATGTACTAAATGTACTAAATGTACTAAATGTACTAAATGTACTAAATGTACTAAATGTACTAAATGTACTAAATGTACTAAATGTACTAAATGTACTAAATGTACTAAATGTACTAAATGTACTAAATGTACTAAATGTACTAAATGTACTAAATGTACTAAATGTACTAAATGTACTAAATGTACTAAATGTACTAAATGTACTAAATGTACTAAATGTACTAAATGTACTAAATGTACTAAATGTACTAAATGTACTAAATGTACTAAATGTACTAAATGTACTAAATGTACTAAATGTACTAAATGTACTAAACGTACTAAACGTACAAGTGGAAATTGCATTGTAGTTGGCCGGTAATAACGTGTATCTCGCAGATGAGAGTCATTTTGAAATAAAACTTATTATACTATAGATCATGACTCTCAAAAACATATATTCTAGTGATGTTCGTGATAACTACGCATGGCTCCGAATTAAATTCAAAGTGATACTTATGTTACCTACTATTCAAGAAGTATTTTTATTGATCACCCCATATTTTTAAGATTCTGTACAATATGGCGACAAGTGACCAGAACGTGTTCTCAAAGCGGGGTTTAAATTCTAATCAAAAGTGTCCTTAGTGTAATCGTAAATGCGTAAACGGTATTAAATGCACTGGGTGTTGAAGAAAATAAAAATTGATCTGAATTTTAAATGTGAACAGTGTGATATGTCTAAAAATGAGTTTCTCGACGCCATCGGCTTGGAATCCACAGATAAGTTAAAACCGAAATTTTTATTATATATAATTACTCAAAAAAATTTGATTATGCATGAATTACAAGACAAAATTTGTATTTTGAATAAGAAAATTGATTTAATATGTCAAATAAATGCCTTATTATCCACAACAGCCGCTGCAAAAATTATACGTGTTGGTCAGGAGATAAGCAACGACAAAAACAGGACCAGCTGTAATAGCAATAGTGTTGATATTGAAAAACCTTGTTCAACCAAACAATCGTATGGGAATTCCCTCGGAGTTCCCCAAAAAAGGCAACACTATAAATTTCAAAACAAAGACGTCGCGACAATAAATTTAGAACAGGACACGCTGAATAAATGTCATGAAATCTCGAACTTTGCTTCTACAGTTATCACAATAAATTCCGCAACTGAAATAAATAGTGATGTAAAGAAAAATCCGACAAATGATTGGAAAACAGTTACCAATTCTAAAAAAACGACCAAATAAACGACAAATAATTGGAAATAACAATGACCTCTCCATCAAAGGCGTTCCAAGATTACCAACATGTACGTAGGATTGATAAAAATACAACTACCGAAGAACTGACAAAAATTATAGAACCTTATTTTAATTTTTAAATAAATATGCATCCTTCAAAGTTAGAATTTTTGAAGACAACTTTCAAGCCGCCATGAATCCGACTTTTTGGCCTCAGATAGCTTACATAAGTAGGTTTTTGACTGAAAAAAGCTATAGACGAAAGAAGACTGACTTGCCTAACAAGCAACTACGCTATGTGTGACTATTCTCCTAAGGGGGTATAATAATTTTATTTTTTTTACTACTAACATGAGAAATCACCATTATTTACTCCATTCCTCTAATGAGAAGTAATATTTCTCTCCCTAGGTAAATAATGATAATAAAAAAAAACCTAGGTAAATAATGAAACTAAATTTCATTAGTTTCATTTTGTTAATTTGACAACTAAACTCCCAGACTACTTGATATTTTGAAATATTTGAAAAATAAGTAGGAAATAACTAAAGCTGGGTTTATTAAAATCTAATCAAATCAAATATGATAATATATATCAGTGTTAATAGTAAAAATATATATTAACTAGGAAATTCAACACCGGCTTTAAAAATTATTAATTAATAACAATAAATCCATGTCATTAAAATATCAAAAATGCAATCATACCAAAATTTGACACATGCCAAATTTTTACATAAATAAAGCCAGTCTGATTAGAAACACGCTCCAGTCTGCTTGATATTTCGAAATATTTAACAAATTGTTAGGAAATTACTTATGTCAAAATTAAAATTGCTAATACATTAATGTTAGTAGTAAAAAAAATTCTATATATACCTCGGCTGAGAAAGCTATTATTTACCTCGCACATTATATCCCTCGGCGCTACGCGCCTCAGGATATAAAAGTGCTCGGTAAATAATAGCTCACTTCTCACCCTAGGTATATAATGTACTATTACAAAACAATGTGAAAAAATAAAAGTAACCACTAAGTGCATAATACCAGAAAATAAAATGTCATGTTTATCTCAAGGAGATTTTGAAGGCGAAGATTCGGTGTTCCATGTTAATATTGGAAATAAACTTGAACAGGTTAAAATTTTATTAAAAGATTATCCTTTTGATTTCTTTTTAGTTTCGGAACATTGGCAAATTAAAAGTAATCTTACTCATATCAATATTCCTGGGTATATACTAGAAAGTTTTTATTGTAAAGATCAAAATATTGAGCATGGAGGAGTTGCTATCTTCTCTAGAAATAAATTCAAAACAAAATCTTGATAAATATAATGAAAAAGTTATTTCAGAATTTTGTGGTATACTCTATATCAGTGGTCGCCAACCTGTCGATCGCGAGCTACCGATAGCTCACGGAGACAATTCTGGTAGCTCACACAACGATTTTAATTTAAAAAATACAAACTGCAAAAATCAGAGAAGCTTCCCAAAATTCCACAAAAAAATCTAATTGTCATAATATTAAACATAAACAGCGGCAACGTTGCGGTGAGCGATCTGCCGCTGACGCCATCAAGCTAAAAACGGCTAGAACCGACCAGCCAGTCCAGCGCGTTAGTGTTCGAGAACGATTAGGATTGCTGGGATAAATATGCACGGCGCGGCGACATTGCGCTTAGTTTAAAACTGAACACGTAACCAACGTCCAGCGGTTGGGTTAGTAGAGAACAACAAAAAATATTATGGCAAGCAGTTGTAAGAAGGTAAAGACATACCACTTTCATTCGGAATGGGAAGAACAATACTTTTTTACAGAAGTTAAAGATAAAAATGTGTGTTTGTTATGTAATTCTTCGGTCTCCGTTGCTAAAAAAGGAAATATTGAGAGACATCATAAAACTGTACATTCTAATTTTGAAAAATCATTTCCACTACATTCTGCCGCCAGAAAGGAGAAACTGAAACAGTTAAAAAAGCAGTTAATTGCTGTCCCAGATAATTGCACAAAAAAAGAAAACTTATGAAGATGGGGAAATGATAAAACAGGCGTTTTTAGAAGCTGCTGATTCGTTATTTGCCAACTTTAGAAATAAAGACGAGATAATTTCAGCTATAAAATCTATGCAACTTTCTGCTAATACAGTGATGAGACGTGTAGAAGTAATGAGCAATGATATTTTTGTACAGTTAAGAACTGACTTAGATAACTGTGTTTATTTTTCACTTCAACTGGATGAATCAACAGATGTCGTTGACACTGCCCAGATGGCCGTGTTCGTCAGGATGGTTTTTAGTGATTTTACGATTAAAGAAGATCTTTTAAAGTTTATTCCACTGAAAGGACACACTACTGGACAGGAGTTGTTTTCTCATTTAAAAAATATTATTTCTTCCGAGAAAATTCCAATATCGAAAATGGTAGGCTTGACAACCGATGGCGCTCCAGCTATAGTGGGTTGTGATAAGGGTCTGGTGGCGTTATGTCGTAAAGATGAAACTTTTCCGCAATTTCTCTGTTACCACTGCATTATCCATCAGCAAGCATTATGTGAAAATTTCCTTAAACTAAACAACGTTATGAAACTGGTGGTAAAAATTGTGAACAAGATTAGAGCTCAAGCGTTACAAAGAAGATTATTCAAAACCTTGACTGTCAATACGGGGACCTACTCCTTCACTCTAAAGTCCGATGGTTAAGTAGAGGACGGGTGCTGAAACGTTTTAATGATGTTCTATCTGGCATAGTTCAATTTTGCAAACAACGCGATGAACTGACTGCGGAACTAGAAAATTCAATCTGGCTTAGAGATTTTGGTTTTCTCGTGGACATTAAGAGAAATTAAACGAACTTAATTTGCAGCTTCAGGTGAGAGACAAAGAACTAGCGGAAATGATTTCTGATATAAAAGCATTTATCAAAAAGCTGGAGTTTTAGGAACAAAACCTAATTAACAGCGATGCCAAGCATTTTCCTATTCTTTCAGAAAAAATATCTCAAAATCCATTAGAACCCTATGACAGCAAATATCATGTAGAAATAGTCTCTACCCAGAAGAATAACTTCAAAAATCGTTTTAAGGATTTCAACGAAATGGCTTTAGTAGGGCAGTTTGTTGTTTCACCCTTTATAGAAATTGATATCCAACAGTTTGCAACTTGTGTTATGCAGAACTTTGGCGAAGACATCGCTGCAACAGAAATGGAAGTAATTGAGTTTCAAAATGATTTAGCCTTAAAATCGTTAGTCTCAAGTACCAAATATATCTGGCCTATTGTAAGTAAAGACAAATATTCAGTTTTGTGCCGTGTTGCCTTGAAAGTGAAAGCATTATTCAGTTTAACCTATTTGTGTGAATCTTCTTTTTCCAATATGAAGTTTATTAAGAACAAATATCGCAATCGACTAACAGATGAACATTTGGATAATTGTATTCGAATGGCTGTATCAAATTATACTGCAAAATTAAAAAAATTATCGATGAGTCTGAGTGTCAGCCTTCTCATTGAACGTGCTTTTTTATTTTTCAATGTTTATGTTCATGATAGTGCGTTACTTTTTTGTTGTTATTATTAACTATTTTTAAATCTTACATGACATGCCATTGTGGCTGGATGAAAGTTTGTGTTTATTTTTCAAACACCTTCGTTTGGTAGGTAGGAATGTAGCTATGAACAAGTACGTACTAGTAATATTAGTTATTTTGTTATTAGTTTATTATTAGTACCTATGTATTATGTATTACCAGTTAAATAGTAAAATAAATACATATAATGATAAATTAACTGTGGATTATTTCATTTACGTTGCGTTACGTGGCTTTCGTGTGGGTAGCTCGCTGTTTATTCCAAAATTAACAAAGTAGCTCAACACATTGAGAGTTTTGCGACCACTGCTCTATATCAATTAAAAATTAATATATTCACAGTATACAGACCGAGCGGTGGAAATGAGAGTGTTTTTTTACGAAATTTTGTATGTCTATTGGATGATTTTGTAAATTCCTAGCAAATCAATTATCGTTTTAGGTGATTTTAATTTTTTGATTTAAAGTGCTTGTTGAGTTCTTACGGACTTTCAATAACTATCGATAAATATACTAGTATCACACCTACACAATTTAGTTACTAACATAATATTATGACAAATTTAAATGAGGGTTTTTATGAAGTTGGGGTATATGACCCTCTATTTTCTGATCATTCAGAGCAGTATTTGTTTTTAAAAACTGCAGTTATAACTAAGCCCCAAGAATTAACTTTAACTAGGGCTATTTCAAACTCTGGCATACGGAAACAAGTCAAGATGTTGACTTTTTATCTTCTTTTTTGGTAACTTCATTTACATATCTAATTGAAAGGCATTTTCCGCTACAGAAGAGCAGACATATTTTAAATAAGCAGTTTATTTGTTGGTTTACTAAAGAACTTAGAAAGCAAAGAGATTTTTTGTCAAAGTTAAAAACTATCAGTGAAATTACTAAAGACCCAGTTGTTGTTATTAACTTCAAAAACTTTAAGAAAAACTATAATATTGAACTAAAACGTGCAAAAAAGAATGAATGAGACAATTTTATAGCAGATAACAAATCCAAAGCAAGTTGGCATTTGGTAAACTTCATCACCAGTCATTTCTGACAGCTTCAAAATTTCTCTCGATGAGCCATGTCTGTGTAATAAAATAAAAATTATAAAATTTTATGCAATGATACAAAATTGCATTACTCACCAGAATATGTATTTTTTGAGACGTAACAGAATGAGTCCGCCAACAGGCGGAGGTCGCTTTGGGGGTACCTACTGATTGGACACACAAACAAATATATGCTGGCCTAACACGATGTATATGCAGTACTGACCATAAACTTCCCAAAAATAAAAATATCTGCAAATAAATACCCTTTTGAGAGTTTCCAGGAATTTTTGCAAATAGCCCTTCACTGTGTATTAATTTTATTCACTATTTTGATAAAAGTTAAACTTCCAATCGCTTCTGTTACAAAACATCTTGTAGAAACGCAACCAATAATACACCAAACGGTGGTTGGTAGTCTGCTTATAGGTAAAGATATATATTAAGCCTTGAATATCTGCGAATAGTCTTTAGAGAAGAGGAAAAATAAAGTCCGCCTAAAGGCGGACATATGCATTACAGGGTTTTAAAATAGAACAAACAAGTTAAGAGTGGTTGAGCTAAAGCTCTCGGGCTCTAATCAGATTATTAATGCCTAAAATTATGTCTCATCAAATCGATATTAAAATATTCTCGAAATTTAGATTCAACAAAAATAGCTAACTATTATCAAGGTCTTGGTATATTACCCTTGATTATAAAGATGATGAGTATTTATTTTCAGGCCTGATGAAACGAAACCGTTTGATTCATATTTGTTTTTAACCTACTTCAAAAGAAGAAGAAGAAGAGGTTTTCAATTCATTGGAATATTTTTTTATGTATGTTCAGCTACAATTCTTTACCACACTGTCCGATTTTTGTGATTTCTTTTTTGTTTACATGGGGGTTCATCAGGGATAGTCCCTTATAAATTTAATCAAGATCCAATAATGGTGTCTATAAGAAAATCTTCAAATTCTTTATTTTTTATATATATGTTTGGCGATAATTATTTATAACGCGAGTTCTATAGTTTTTATTTGTTTGAAATAAGATACCTTAGGGGTATTCCTATATAAAATTAGTCAAGATCTAACGATGGAGTCCATAAAAAAATCAAAAAATTCTTAATTTTTTTAATGTATGTCCAGTGATAATTCCTTATCACATCCGATTTCTATGATTTTTTTTTTGTTAGAAAGGGAGTACCTCAGGGATGGTCCCATATACATTTGGATAATGGGATCTATAAGCAAATGAGCAAACTCAATTTGTAATGGCATTGCACGATTTTGGAGTAGGTTTTTATTACTTGTAAAGTAAATGTAATATAGTAGAATCCAAATAGAATGTCAGAAATTTGTGAAAAATGCTGATAGAGTTGTCATAATAATATGCAATATCCAACACATACCAACCACTAAAAAAACTTGGGCGCTTTTCATACAATTCATTATTGTCTATTTTTTCGGATTCAAATAGATATGTGATTTTAAGTTTCTTTACCTATTGAGTAAGTGAAAATCTAAAAATAATCATACATTCTAATAAATTTCGCATCTTTTATTTGTTTAAGATATATAGTAGTCATACACTTTTAGACAGTGCTTCCTGTACTTTAATGCACAATGGCAAATAATGGGATAGCAAATAAAAATTAGAAATAACAGTAGCTTAAGTATTTACATTATTTACATTAGTTAATAAATGCTTTTCTTTGTATAGCTATAGATTTTTGAAGTATTTTTTTACAGGGTGATACGATATTCACTTTTATTATCGTTAACGTTTATATTTTAATCTAATTCTTTTATACGTTTGCTCATCTGTTGGTAAACAATAATAATAATAATATAATAATAATACTCTCCCTAATTCATTCTCTTACGAGTGAATTTTCACCCCAAAAGCTGAGCTAACATTAATAACTTCGGCAGTGACCATAAAACAATGTCACTAACCTACTTTTTTTTTTCATTTATTCAAAACCTTTCTAGCCCAGCCATGTATTCTTTTACAATGTTGCTTTCATTGTTACTTTGGGAAATGAAAAAATACAAGGAGACTTACATCCAACACTATACATTAGGGGTATCTCTCTCCCCCTCGGCATTTAAGCCTCACTCGGTCCATTGTGCATCCTCCTAAGATGAAAGGCACCTCCTAGCTTGTGGGCCAGCCTACAGATTTAATGTAGTTGACAACGTCGCCAAGAGGTGCTTCTCTTATATCGGCTGGTGTTAGCCTTAGCCGATACTCGCCGAACACAAATCTTATAATAAATGAGAGCTTCGAGCATTCGTAAAGGATAAGATAGCCGTGTAAGTCCATGCGAAGACTCTGGGGAAGAAACCCCAGGTGTGTCCCACTTTTCGGTGGAATTAGAGGTAAACAGAGACATATTAATATTTAGTTATTTATGGTTGTTTATAGAACCCAGATAATTCGATATATTATAGTTTTCTTCTCCGTTCTTTGTTTCCCAAAAAAATGTTTCTTCTTCTTATGGCTACCATTTTCTGTTTAGTATTCACTTTTCAGATCCATACACAACTGTGCATTACCATTATTTTTTTATTGAAGGATTTTCCTTTTATTCCAATGTGATAACATCAGTAAAATACTACATAATTTTTGTCTTTTGTTACGTTGCCCCCTAGGCTGTTTTTTATATTAACTAGCTCCGTTCTTTAATTTCATCCGGAGAGTGGGACGTGGAAAATAAATCAGTAAATATTATTTAAGGGTACATGATTTTACTTAAATTACTGTTTTCTTTATTACGTTACAGAAAAAGGGATGTACATAGAAATAAAGTATGTTCATAGAAGTAAATTGTTATAATTAACCAGTGGGGTTTATTCAGTAAAACCTTTACTCAAGGCCAAGTAGTACTACTTGTTTTCAAAGAATAGGTGAGTACAATTCATTTTACTAAAATAAGTAGGTAAAAGCAATAGATAGTGATAGCAGTAACAGTGAAGCAGAATCATATCCTAACTATACATAGCATTCCTGAATGCCTAAGTAAAACTAGCTATAGGGATGCATGCAATTTCCGTTGTATCTCGGTATTTTTTTTTTTATAGAAAACTTTGTTTGAGAGGTGGTAGAAAATTTGAAAAATTCGTTTGTTACTAAAAATGTAGACCACGAAAAACCAACCTTCTGTAAAATAAATAGCTATTTACTGCGCATGAGTATCAACCAGACAGTGATGTTATGCGCAAAATCAAAACTGCTCATTTTTTGCTATTAGAAATAATAGCATTCCATTGTAACGGTTATAGTTCAGTGGTTAAAACAGAATAATGAGAACGTAAATTTGTTTTAATTCGTTCTACAAGAAACTAATCTTAGGGTAACTTAGTTTTAGTGAGGAAAGCTGCCTGTGCACGTCTAAAGCTTGTAGAACTGCCTCATCATCAAATCGAAATAGCAATCGTTATCAATGGAAGCACTAATCGCAGAATAGTAATTTAGGAATTCTTCTTTGGTAACCTTTCCATCCCGTTCTGTATCTTTTTCAAAATTCGCTAAAAATTTTAACAAGATAGATTCTTCGCTATCTTCACCGGCCTGATAGCGAGGACTGGCCTTTACATTGTAAAAATGTTTCAAGTGATCCATCGTTATTAAACCATCGCCCGTATGGTCCATTTTACAAAACGCTTTGTCTATGATTGTTAATCTAGAGTCACTCAGCGGCGGTCTGATGCTTAGTAAGAATTCATCGATGTTAACGCTACCATCTCCATTTGTATCGAATCTATGGAATACTTCTTTGGTCTCGTCTTCTGATAATTCTAAACCTACTTCTTTGAGACCGTGTAGGAATTCTCTACGGCTCAAATTTCTGCTACCGTGATTGTCCATCAATCTTAATATTCTTCCCAAATGTAAAATCCCTGTGGCTCCTCTGGAAAGACACAGCAATCGGAGGCGTTCCACAGGATCTCCAATATTACCAGCGGCAACTAATTCTCTTAATTTTCTCTCAGCCATTTCCGATTCTTGACGCGAAGTCGGGCTTTCCGCACGATGTGATTTGAAACTGTACGACATTATGAAACTCCTCGAAAAGGTACACTTTTAATTTTTTTTGGCACTTCAATAATTTCTTATAACACAATCAAAATCCAAACTGAACCAAACACCAATCCACTTCAAAAAAGAACATGCGAAAAAGGAGCCAAAAGGGGATAGAACCTCAGGAAACCAGAAGATACAAGTACCTAATTTAGGATGGATAAACTTCCAATAAACAGTTTAATTACTTACTTAATTATCAAAATTATAATTAAACAAAGAAAAGAAGAGCTATTACAAGGTCATGGTCAAGACAGATGAGTAGGGTAGTTTTAATAAATGGAAAAAAGACTATTTAAGTTTTTAAGTATTATTTACAAATCTGGATGAGTTTTTATTTATTTAATAGTTACTAATTGTTTATAAATATCCAAGGAAAAAAATTTAGTAACCAGTAACGAACTTTTACTTACAGCAAATAAAAAGTTGTATATTATATGGCACAGAGAAAATGTTTACTTACAGTAAGGAAAACAAGATTTCTGAAACAGTTTAATTAGTTTTAAGATGACTACAGTTAGTGAACTATTTACTTGTAGTTAGTGTACATTATTTTCTTACTAATTGGATTTGGTTTATTTGTCGCTAGTTAACTGTTTTCTTGTGATAAGTAATTTTTGTTTCAGTGAAAGGTTTATATGTAATTATGATCTTGAAATATTTATAGGCTTTAAAATATTATTTATCATTATTAGGATGAAAGTATAAGATTTTATAAAACTTATTGGTGCCCTAATAAGGCTATAACTAATGACATTTATAAGAAGTACTCAGGTGTTTTAAAATAATGTCAACTGTTACAAAAATATGAAAATGGACAATATAAAAAGATTAAAAAAACATTAAAGTCAAAAATACACGATTGATGTATCAAAAAATATATAAGGTACTTACATAATAAGAATAACGACAATAATAGCCGCCCTTACCCTGCACAAACTCTGTTTCTGGGGTCAAAATTGACTCGTAAGAAGAGTGCATAGTGACAGAAAAATTCTCATGGCCTGGTTAACGTTGACCATCTCCAGGTCTCTGTAAAATACACTATTTCTAGTATCAAGGGGCATTAACTATGTTCCTCAATACATTATTCTAGAAGTAAAGTCTATAAAGAGAAAGATGTCTGCTGTACATTGTTCATCAACATCGCACGGGTGTTTGATTGATAAAGTCTGGCATGAAGGCCTTATAATTAAATTCGGATAAATGCTCTCAAAGCAGTATTTACAACTTTTAGAATCGTTCAATATTGATAAACTTCACAAAGTAAAACAAAAGAGGAAATATTTTGAGTTAAAACAAAATAAATCAGGAGTACCACAAAGGAGCGTAATTTCTCCTGTATTGTGTCTAATATTTGCTTACGATATACCATCAAATAATTAACGTAAATATTTCTACGTTTGCTGATGACACTATTATTTTAGCAATTGGAACAAATGTATATGAATCCATTGAAAAGCTACAACAATTAAACAGTGGAGAATAAAATTAAACAAAATAAAATATCTAAATACAAATTTAACAAATAAAAATATTCACAATAACACAGCTATGTGGTATCTGGTAATGAATTTAGATACAAAGCTTGTGTGAAAAAACGCATCAAAAAGAGAACAATGATTAGAAATATAAAAAAATGTCCCAGGTAATTGACAGAAGATGAAAATTATCAGTACATAACAAGTAGATGAAAGTTGCCCGATATGGAGGTAGCTCCTAATGTGGGGTAGCTAACCTTTGAACAAGTACTTACTGGGTGCGACATCTATTGTGTACGTTGTATACTAACCACCTACTTACCAGGAAGAACCCATTATCGTTCTGCAGCAAAGATTTGTTCTCTGTTGATTTTTGAGTTGGTAATAATTTTATGTGGTAAGGAGAGCTTTTTAATGCATTATAGATGCTTAAGGAGACTTAAAGGTAAGTTTATAAAGTTTTAATTATATCATTCTATATAAAATTTTACGTAGGCTATAAAAATTATTTTGTTTTTTAAAATAACACCACATTTATTTTACAAAAAGTCGTATAAAATGACGTGCGACGAATGCCCATTGCCCAGTTATTGAGAACGACGTCAGGGTGCTCCACTACACTTTCACGCACTCTCTCAACATTTTCAAAGGTATGAACAGTTCGAACATGACCCGATCTTGGCAAGTCTTCAACTTCACCGGTTTGTTCAAATTTCCGCACTAATTGATAAATGGCGTTGATACTGGGCACATTATTTCGACCAAACTCTTGTCGTAGATTTCGTATAGTAGCAATCATCGACTCATTATTTAAATAAAACGTTTTAACAATACGAACGCGTTGTAGGATCGTGATGATTTTGACAGATGTGCTTTAAACAACTACTTAAGCGCCACCTACGGAAATGCATGCATCAAAAATGGCGCGATATTTAAATCAGTCAGTTATATACTGGCCACCCAGTATGAGTAAAATTTTAGATTCATAAAAAATCCTTTTTTTTTTGTAGTTTTTATATTTAATTTACATAAACAGAAAAAGTTAATATTTTCAAATTTTACATATCAAATTTCTAATATGTGGTACCCCATATTACGAACCTAACGCACCCCATATTAGGATAACATATGCCCTAGTATAAGGTAGTGTATTTTTATTCAATGCTAAATATTTTTTCTGCAGTTTTCTTTTAACATGTTCCTTAGTAATATAAATCCTTAAAAAGTATCAAAGGAAACATAAAAGTTATAAAAAGTGTCTAAAACTCACTACGTTTTTCTGTTATAGTGTTTTAACTACAGTAGGTATCAGCCAGATATTTAAAAATACTACTGTGGATGTTCCCTGGTACATTCAGAATACAGATTTACAAAGAGACCTCAAGATAAGGATTGACAAAGAAGAAATAAAAAGAAAGATAAACATCAGATCCTCAAATGGTATGAAGAGGATAAAACCTAGTGTGAGTTAAACGTAAAAGTATTTAAAAATCAGAGCATCTCAAAATAGTGTAAATTAGCTCAAATAAAGAAAAACGTGGAAACGCTAAGTACCTACGTAAGAGACGCTACTGAGTGATTTCTTAGTTTTAAGCTTTTAATTCAATTAAATTAAGATAAAATTGCTAATAAATTGTGATATAAAAAATGTAATTCTAAATAATTTACCTGTCTACCTTAAAGATCGACGGTTTAACGCATGAGCGTGGGTAACGCGTTAATTGTGTAGAATATTAATCGCCGTTTAATACGAGTTAGTTATAAACAGTTTTATGTTGATCGTATTCCTATTAAATTCTGATTAAAAAATTTAATTTGATAAACGAGGAATTTATTTAACAACTACACTCAGTTACGTCAGACAATATTAAAGATAGGATTTATTGAATTAATTATTATTTCTTTCTCTATATCATCAAAATCAATAATAGAAATCGTTAATAAAAGCTTAATCAAACTCATAAATATACGGTCGATGAAAATTTTTTTTATTTTACTTCCACTTTTAATAATAGTTTCGGTCATTGGAATTAAAATTATCAATTGAATCACCCGGTTTACATATAAGTACACCCAAATAGACAGGTATATTTACCTTCCTAAACAGTTAAGAGGGTTCAGTGTACAGCCCGAGGCCTACATCTGTTGTTTTTGCGACTCTTGATTCTGACTGTTGTTCGACAAATTTTTCTCTCGTTGAACAATTGGCACTTGTCAATTTTCGAGAACAACTTGATTGATTGAAATTGCCGCCGAAAATGCGGGGCCGCAACCGGTCGGAACGTTCTTTGTGAGATATTTTTTATGTCTGAATTTTGATTCTGAAAAGGAAAAACTGGGCGGTGTTTAAACGGTTGAGAAGAAAGTAATAATAAAGCCGATCTGTTTACTTTTGGTACAGAGATGGCTTCAGTTTACATGAAACAGTTAAATGTATAAAATCATTATTTACTTCTATAATAATAATAATAATAATAATAATGATGTTGTTTATTCACATAAAACAAATACAATGTATAAAAAATGTCACTTAAAGATAAGCAAAATAAACATGAACTACACAGAAGCTGTTATGGACAGCTTGTACGTGGTAGGTATTACTAAAAAATTTAATCAAAAATTAATTCTATAATAATATGACCGAATAAATAATGAATAAGCCCAATGGATCAGTTTCTTTGTATCTTAGACAAAATGTTAAAAATTAAATTAAATTATTTATATAATGTAATACTTGGAAAAGGGTCAAAATCGGGAATTAGTTACACTCAAGAGAAAGGTCGTAATCGAGATAGAGGATATAATCGAGATAGAGGACATAATCGAGATAGAGGACATAATCGAGAAATAGGTCGTAATCAGAAGAACAAGTCCTATTATTGGGTGAGTAAATTACAAATTTAAGGAAATTAAAGAAATTAATCGGAAAATCAGTGCAGTTATTAAAAGTATGGATAATGAATATAATAGTTTACGATAGGTAATTATTTATAACATTAGTAAATTCTTCTCGGTCTTCTTGAAGAATCCAGTTTCTTAGATGTTTTTTGAATACATTATAAGACGGTATATTTCGTATCTCTTCTGGGACTAAAATATACATTCTTGGTGCAAGATAATTGCATGTACGTTGTCCTATAGATTTTTCACTACGAGGAAAATAAACAGATTCTACTCGTCGTGTATTATACTGATGTTCATGTGATGTCAAAACAATTTTTTTTGTTTTTATAAATTGAAGAATTTTAAAAAAATATAATTGTCTTAAATCAAAAACTTTTAATTCCTTGTACAAGGAGTTACTAGAATATTGAATATCTTTGTTATAGATAATACGCAAAATCCATTTTTGCACCACATGAACATCATTCAGAAAGTTATCGTGTATTCCTCCCCAACCTATAATACCATAGACTAATAACGACTGTACCAAAGAGAAATACATTGTTTTTAGAGCATGAACATTTAAAAAATCTTTTAAATACCTGAACTTGGGCAATAATCCTCTTATTTTTTTAATAAGTTGCTTGGTATGTAAATCCCACCTCATATGCCTATCTATAAGAATTCCAAGATATTTTACTGAAGAGGATTCA